TCGCTCCTGCATTTGAGACATGCATTGCATGTGGTGCGAAATCTTCAGGCTTGCCCCTACTGACTTGAGGTGGGAAACAAGGAGGAGAAACAAAAGAGAACTGCTGTTAAACTTCTAGAGCTGTGGCACATCCACATTCAAATAGCATCGCATGGGCACCAAACGCGTAAAGGTGCCTGTACTCGACTGTGGCCCAGTGGTGGTGCTGAATCAGGTGTGCAGTCTTTCAGCGTTAGCATCATATCCCGGACCCATCACATCTTCAGAATGTTTAAACCTGCTTTTACTGGCTTTGGCTATATACCGTTCCAGTCCTTTCGCCAACATTAGCTCAATTGGCCCAAGAACTTTGGTTCAACATTTTCTACACTGTTCGTTATCATCTCCGGAATTTTGAAACCTGCTCTTTGGGCCAAGGGAATCTTAGCGAAAGCTGCTTTGAAAAGGCAATGGTGGTTTCAAAAAAAACGGTCTTGAAAGAGATGGGATGAGGAGAACAAGACCAGGAACAAAATACATGCAGGTTGTCTGTTTTTTGGCCCTTAGCCCAACTGCATGGTCTGTGAACAGTATCATAGTCTGCTTCTGCCCTGGACTAAGCAACCCGCCTAGTAGGCATGCAGAAGGGTCTCGCAGAAGGGTCTCGCAAATGGGGACTCGCAGCTTCCCGCAGTCTCACCGCTCCGTTCGCGCAGCGAGAACGGCTTCTCACAGCTTCGCAGCTCCGGTCGTGTTTTTGACCTTCCCTCCCCGTGCAAAGCCTGGACCCCCATGTCACCAGGGCCCTTCCCAGAACATCCAATGACTTTTACCACACCTGGGAGTTATACACAATCCATTACTATCATATATTAGGGATCAATAATAGGGGAAAATGAGCCATTAGGACTCTCAGGGTTTGTACGAGTGGTCAACCAGTCGCTCACCTGGACCCACTGCTATGACCAAAGTGGAAAGACAGATTTGTCCACCCTTGGACCAGGAGATACACCACATGCCACAGAAAATCAGCGACCAAGAAAAAATAAAAGCATCCGCAGTCCAGGAACGGATGGGCGGCATGGTGTTTTTGGTTGCATGTACTTGTATACTCCTTGAGTCCTTGGTGAGGTCATTCAATATGTGCAACAATCTATCTTGCTTGTGCACCCGCGCACCCAGCCAGCCCCCCCAAAATAACATGATAAACCCTCCTGCTCCACCTCTCCTGTTCCTAGCTTCCGCAACGAGACCATTGCACACTGGCCGCAAGGAGGCCATGAAGAAGCCCGACATGGCGCGGAGGAAGACCATGGGCACCATGCTGGGCACAAAGGACAAGACCATGATGGCGACAGCTTCCTGAGCTACTCACTGCGGAGCTCCGACTCAGTCAAACGTGGAAGCGGATGACACCCCCTTTTTTCGTAAAGGAATCGTCCTTTCGGGACCATGGCATCGCATCGTAACGCATGGAACGTGAATCACGTACTCAAAACGGGAGGTAACCCGGAGTGCCGTAATGGGCGCCGGGGGCCGCCGATTTGTTTGAGGTGTGAGCATTGATTGGCCACCAAGCCCAAAGTGGCGTTGGAGGCTTTTAAATATGTTACCTTTGCTATCCACGAACCCAAACAAATCGCACAAACATAGTTGAACATAACAGGGGATTGAAACGAGCAAATACAAATCACATCAAACTCACCCGTTCCGCTACCCTGGTTCTCCAGACCGCTCGGCGAGTGGGGTGGATCTACGTCTGGTGGAGCTACGTCTCAACACGTCGAAAAAGCCACGCGATTGGTGCGATGTGTCCAGTCAAGTCGCTTTTTGGTGAAATATATGTCAAAACGGGTGTGTTTGGATGCGCATCCCAGAAGTTGCCACCAGCTCAGACTTCCAACAGTTTCTGGTCTTCTCCTTCAGTTAGACCCTCGGTTCCTGGCAACTTTGACCCTAAAAAAATCCGGCGATAATCATATTCCTTGGAAACGTTGGAATGGATGACACCAACGTCAGGCATCCCAAGCTTCTCCAAGGCATCCCAACGTCAGGATGGACCGTCTCTGAAGCAAGCCTCGATCAGCCTGAAGCAAGCGGCGCAATGCGCTTGTCTCAAGTTTCGTGGTGTTGGACCCGGTTTCAGACCATAGCCATCCACCCAATTCATGTGTAACAAGTGTACTCACAAAGGCACACATGCTATAGACCTAGGAGACTCATCTGTCCTCTTTGCCAGGTCTTTGTGTCATTATAGGCTTGACAAATGGCCGGACTGCTCTGCAACTTGCTTGCTTGCTTGCTTTCTTGCATGCTTCAACAGAACGGAGCAGAACTTGAGAACAGCGAGTCTCCCCAGCTTGACAAGCACAGCTTTCGCAAGCCCAAGAACAGTATGCTGCTGATGGTAATTACTCTGCTTCATGTAGGCACCAAGTACAGCGAACTGCCTTGGGTGATAAACCATCGTTCATCATCAAACTCGTCCTAAACCACTCAACCGCTGGTCCCCACACTCGATCCTCAGACTTCTGTCATCGAATCCAACTCAATGGTTGCTTTGTGCCGATGTCCCACCAACCTATTCCTATAGTTGCTGTGGTTCCTATGGATCCATATACCATCTGAGAGGGTGATGTCTTCGACACTTTGGCGATCTGCGCCCGGGTCGGGAGATTCTGAAAGTGGATCCAGTGGATCCCCAAAAATAGGAGTTGTTGGATCCTCTTTGACCTGTGGGGAGCCTGAAAAACAAAGCATGCTTGTACGTTGATGACATGCTTTCTTATTGGAACACGACCATTTCGGGCAAGTTCTCTACCAAAGCATCTAACTCTTCTGGATAAAAACAACAAAACAACCTACCCTAGGGACCCTACTCCCACTTGTATGTGGGATGGGTTACATGCTCGATCCCACCCATGTGCCACCCGCGGAAGGAAGAGGTCGTTCTCTCCAAGCCACGATGATGCCCCAGAAGGGCGCCGCGACGTTGGTCAGGAACATCTGCACGGAGGTGAGGATGGCCACATCTCCCAAGGTCAAACCAATATCCTTCTGCCTCGGTCGAAAGAGGAAGAGCGGTCGAAAGGTCTTCGTGAAGACAAAATGAGAAAGACATAAAAAAAAGAAAACAAGCGAGCAAGAAAGCGAGACAGGTCTGAGGATAGTAAAATAAGGAACATAAAATAACAGGTGAAGCAAGGAGTGCTTACAAGAATTGGAGAGGGACACAGGAGAGGAACCGCATGGGGAGAGAAAAAGAAGGAGAGAGAGAGAGAGAGTGAGAGAAAGTCTGACATAGACCTGAGAGTCTGACATCTGGCATGTCTTACCTTTAGACCTGGAGATTCTGGAGGATAACAATATTATACGTAATAATATGTAATATAACCTTATATGACACCTATTTTTGTGGTTTGTCAGTTTTACCTCATTTGAAAAGAACAGTTCAAACGTTTCCGAGGGCCCTTGCGGGACATTCTCGAGAATGGCCAGTACTTGGTATGCTGACGGTATCCTGTAGGTATCCCGTGAATCGCCGCTCCAGCAACCTGCGGGGGTTGGGTATCCTCATTGATTCATCATCAAAGCAATGCCCAACTCCTGAAACTCCCAATCTCATCGGGGCTCCGCCCCCGCGCACGTGCTGACGTACAATTTCATGTGCACCCAAACCTGCAAACCACCAAAACCTAAGGGGTCCAAGTCTTTGCCTTTGACCATGCTGCGAAGGTTTGATCAACTCTATATATTCTATATATCGTTCAGCAAGCTCAAAACTGACAGTCGACAATCAAGTTTCTGGGTCAACTCCCCGGCAATGGTCGGTCCGAAGAGGCAAGACTTGCGACGACTTTTTCATCATTGGACCCGCCAACGATCCGACCCTATAAAAACCAGCGGGTGTATCTATTATTTTATATATTACTATACTCATTAGAATCAAGATGAATCAAGCCTAATAGGCATGTAATATAATATGTGAATTGTAAGTTCATTGACCTGCAAATCCGTGCTACAAGCTGGTTGCTTTGTCTTACGGTAGGGGATTCTCCGGCAAGAAAAAGAGAGCAGCTCTCTCAGAACCAATTCGGCCCAGTGGCAATGCATACAAGCATCCCGGAATCAGCTGGGTATCTATACCTTCGACCTCCGGTCCAGCGTTCCAAGGTGGTGTGAAAGACGTCTGAACTAGCACGTCTGAAGAAATGGCCATGAACAACTTAATAATATACTTGACGCAGCAAAGCAAACAAATACTTTGGACTTTGAAACACAAACACTTTGGACTTTGACATGTCGCAATGTTCACCAGCAAAAGGCAAACCAAGGCCACACGTGGCGGTGTCTTCTCCTCCGAACTCTTCTCCTCGATTCGATGTTCGCCTGGACAGGGTCAAATCGAATCGAACCAGAAAAATGGGCGACACATGGTGACACAACGCAACGACGCAAACAAATACGCCCGAGAAGATTTCAGGATTCCATGTTAATCTTCCCGGGTGTATATATACATAGTATGCCACACAAATACATACAGTATTATAGGCCCAATAAGTCTTTGTCTACTTCCCCTTCTTCCACGGGAACTGGGAGGTCTCCCCTCCCCTGCTTTAATACACCCATAACGGTTGCCCGATGGTTCAACGGAACTGACCCTCCAAACAACGTACAGTGGGCCAGTCGGAATGACCTCGCCTGCTTCGGACGAGATCTCCGCCGGAGCCACGGCAGTGAGTTCTGGACAACTCTTCGACGCCATTGAAATCGCAACGCGGAGGTCGGTCGGTCGGTCTCGTTGCGGTTCGTTGGAGGTACGTTTGACCTGTTGATGTTTGGGCCAAAGGAATGAATATGATTGAGCAAATGGTCCCGAGAAATGCTGAGAAGATGCCGTCATTAAAAAAACACATTGGTTTGATGACATCTTCTGTGAAATGTCATGTGAATCACCTCGTGAATCAGCTCACTCCTTCCAGAAAGGATCCGCTTTCCGCGAACCGCTGCGTTTCTGACACCTGGAAGTCAAATCTCCGCTGCTGCCGTGCATAGCAGCCACGGATGTCCAGCGCGCCAGCTGGAGCCTCTGAGGAACGCAAAACAAACTCAAAAAATGTAGTTGATGAACACCAGGATCATCCAATGGATGTCCAATAGGCTGTCCAAGATCTTCAAATCCTCGTCTCCGGCTCCGTTGTCCTCGGTGTTGTGTCTGGTTCCCCCCCAAACCGCCTCGGGGTCTTCGGAGGGTCGGCCATTCTCTTCCAGCCAGGCCTGACCTGAGCCAAGCAGTTGAATGTGCAAACCGCTTTTTTCCACAAAGCTCCATGCAAAACAGCCCAACCAAACCCAGCAGCTTTCCAAACTGACCATGATTGATTAAAAACCACCCAATTGAAGGCCATGGTCGAAGGCCAAGGTCCCACGTGCGTTTTTGTTTAAACAAACAATGCAAACACCCCGGATGGAATGCCTTGCGCTTCCTTGTCTCAAAATTTTGACACCGATCCTCTTCCGTGAGTGTTTTCCTTGGTCCCCCCGCCTTTTTCATAGAGCATCTTGAACTGGCAGTTTTTTTTGTGTGTGCCACGTCGGACTGTGCAGGATTCTAAACCAAATGTTAAGTGATTTAATAACATCATTGTATGTATATCAACCAGAACATAACGGCTTGCATTGGTGGGGAACACCATGCTGTGAAACAAAAAGGTTTTCTGCTGTGTTCTTATTTCAGTGTGAGTCACATGCATTCAGAATTCCGGTGAATGTGGGGAGCCATTTTATAGATTTGGAATGGTCTGATTGACCATCTGGTGTATATAATTTGAACAGTCTGACAGTCTGACTCAAGCAGGATTTACATAACATGACTCCACCCCACCCCACTTACGATAGTGGTTTGAGACTATGTTCATCTGTTTCCCTTCGTTCTAAGACACTACATTACTATATTTGAGGAAGCCGGCAGTAAACCGTTCAACGCATGAGCGAAGAAATTCAACTTACAAGTAGTATAGATCTTCACGAGGCTGCACAAAATTGGTACAGGTTCTTGCAACATGACCAACAACAATCAAAAACACATAGAATCTCTATAAAATCAAGAATTGACCCCCCCATCAGGAGGACCCGTGAAACGCTTTATATGGGTAGGGTGCACCCCCTCATTTCATAGGAGAATCCTACACGGGGATGATTCAGATCATGTTGTCCAAATCTGTTTCATTCACGTCATATTTGCTTCACGTGCACATGCCACCCTTCAGCCTGATCAGGTCTCATCTCAGCTGCCTCAGCCATGGTGACGAAATCCAAGGCGTATGGGCGAACACTGAAGAACACTACACGAGTGTCGAGGGGCTGGGGAAAGGTGACTCCTGCCAAAGTCCAATGTCGAACTCGAGCCATGGCCAAAGGTTCAGGTTTTGAGACCCGTTCCATTTAAAGGAATGGCCATGTTGGACCATGTTCCTCTCTCGGCTTCGTAGCTTCGCATCAAGACTCGACTAGACGTGGCCCAAAGATGGCCATTTGGAAGCTGAAATACCCGTCTCAGCCCCTATGAAAGAAGGAAAGCAACCATCTTCTCCAAGAACAACATGTAGAAGTGTCTTGCTCTCCGGATCAAGTTCCGGAAATCATCGGACATCATTTACTAGATTCTGCCCCTCTCTAACCTCTGTCTGTAACTGAAGCATGTCAGCCCATCGCCAGGGCTGATCGACCAGGTGCCCAAACAGAATAAGAGCCTCGTCGCACCGGCGTGAGACGGCAAAGCCTAAGGAAGCGAGACAGTCTTTCGGAAGCGACGAACAGTTTGTGTGTCAAAATACCGTTGAGGTCTGCTATCCACATGTTCCGTGGTAGCAGAGCGTGGAGCTTCGGAAGATGAGTACTAGCATGTACTAGCCCTACGGACCGGCAGTCACCATCACCTACACGGCTTGGGAGTCACAGGACACGACACGGCGAAAAGGTGCATTTCTCGGCGAATGATGTGGAAAAGATGTGAAGAGACGGAAGAGACTCAATTAACCTAGCAAACTCACATGAAGCAGTAGATCTTCTCCTAGCAGCCCCAATTAGGATTAGGAGATTCACCCGTTCTGCATGGGAAGTTGGGCCACAAAACCTCAACAGTTCTTGCAATTTTACTAGCAGCTGTTCTTTTGGTCAGCAGTTCTGGCCAAAGTTCATACAGCTTAAGACCCTGGATTGACTTTGGTTCAATACCAGTTTCTCGCACCAAGTTCTTTGAGCTGCAACAAGTTCCTTCACACAAGTTCCGCACGAGACAGTGACGTTGGATAGGGTTTCTGTGGTTCATCATATTAGATCATATTCATCATAGTCTAGTAGTTCACCAGTTTCTATTGGCCAATTTGATGATGAAAAAACACCTGCATTGGTGACATAAATTTAACTTTTGCAGGCCTTTCCCTTTCGCTCTTCATGTTTCTCCAAAACTTTGCCGGACATGTCATCTGCATGTAAAACAGCACTTCGGCCAATAGGAATCACTTGAAAGACATCCTGATCTCATCGAAGCCCAAGGATTTCGCTCATTTCTGTCCATCGATTTAGCCCCATCTCTAGCATCTGTGGGCCCACCTCAGGGTGGAGCCGCCTCACCGCCGTTCGCTTCCCCCTCACTCCACGGAACGGTTCGCCCGCGGGGATGATCACCGGCTCACCCTCGACGAACCTCGGGGATCCGCGGTGGATGGACACAGAGAAAGGCGTTAGGATGGACACGGTGGGTAGAGAGACTTGCGAAAGGATAGGAGCTTAATTGAATCAACATAAGTGAACAGATTCTTATTCTAGATTCTACATCTTATATATATAATTATGTAGTTATATAATTTACTTTCATATATACATTAATTAACCTTCAGTGACTAGTATGCCAAGCTGCTTTGGCAGTTCCACCACTGCATGCCAAGGGTGTGCTGGGAAGTACCAGTCAGTGTCCTCGGAGTTGCTCCAGGAATCAGATATATGAACTCCGTGTCCTCTCGGTGAAATGTGGTTAAGTCTATGAGGAAGCCGAATTCTACGCCAATCATTGACTTTGTGTTTCTATCTGAGGTGTGCCACTCTAACCTATCTCATGATTCCCATGTCCATCTCGATCTTCAGAGACGGGTGTGATTTGGCACTCAAACATTAATCCATCGTGGTCAGGAATGATTATGCAATGCTGCATTGGTCTGCCTTTGCCAAGTTCATCCCTGAATCTCCCAATTGAAACACGGCTCATCCCAAACTATTTGTCTTCCAAGACAATGTTTGGTGTCTTCTTTAAAATGGCGGTCAACAACTCATGTTCCCTTGAATCATACCCGTTCGTGCGAAAAAGAAAAAAACTCCAGACTCTCATCAGCACTCCAAACTGTTTAGAAAAGCCAAGTAGCTAACATGGCGCTGAGGATGCGAAATCCTTGGGCCGTGCTTTGAGCACAGGTAGAGGTAGATGGGGGCATGTCACTCAGCATAGTGCAATAGGCAAACCTTGGTCCTTAAGTATGGACGTTAGGGCAAACCTTGGTCCTTGGTCCTAGCAGTGAAATCTAGTGATTCTGCAGATCTGAGATTGGTGAAGGTCTCAGATTGGCATCTTGACATAAATACCAGGAAGCAATTTAGCAGCAAGAATTGAAATCCGAATCAGAGCAAACTTTGAAGCGTGTTTGAACGGCTGAAATCCTCGTTTAGGTTGAAAGCTTGGGGAAGGGACAATTGTGCCTCCATCCGACCCGCAATGTCTTTTTCAAGAGAAACAAGACCGGTGAATGGCCGGTGAATATAATTCCATCCAGTATCTGCTCATTGGTTGGTTGTTACGATTGTGTAATCACTGCAAGTATCCTAGTATGTGCATGTGCATATGAGATTGAAAAAAAGAGAGAGAGAGAGAGAAACAAAAACAACAAAGATGAAAACAAACAGTAGTATAATTGCATGACTTGAGATATGGGCAGTGGTGATTTCTCTTCGTGCCTGAGCCCCGCACGACGATGTGCATTGGGGATGTCGCCCCTGAGAAGCTCTCCGGACAGTTAATATGTAATAAAGATCTACCAAATAGACACGACCCGGGTAATAGGTAAACACAAAAAAACACGGTACTGTCTGCTGGTCATGCAGCAACATTTCAAGCTCCAAGCATCTGAGCTCAGCATCAGCATAGACTGAGTTTCGGACATCAGAATTGCCCACCTCGAGATGGCACCGACTCCTCTACTGCTGTTCATAGAACGTCCGGAGCAACACGCTCCGGACGAATGTGGTCCAGTTCCATGGAGTTGGGGTCTGGTCTTGCGAGTGGATCCGTCCCCTGGTGAGTGGATGTGATGTTCTGGGCATCGGCACTCCCCCTGTGAGATCAGTTCTGCGCAGTTGAAGCGCAGTTCTGTTCTCAGTCAGTCGCTGCTGCTGTTGCTGCTCTTCAACATCTTCTGCTATGTGCATACTAATATTTAAACAATGCACATAAAACATCATTAAAAAAGCAAATAGGTATATACTATGGCATCACGGGTTCTACTTGGTTGTGTATCATATATCGGTAGTAGGTTTAACCCTGCTTGGTGCCCAACCCAGGAGGTGTCTGAAGGTACAAATACGTCGACACTTTCGCTTGATTCCTCAGTGCAAACGCGGAAACCGTCTGGCGGAGCAGCGGGAACGTCTGGCGGAGGAAATACTCTGATTGTCTGTCTGACTGTCTTAATTGTCTGAACTGTCCTTCCACCCAAAAGGCCCAAAGGGCTTTTGGTATATGTTCCCTTTTTGTTGTCCAATGTGTCTAAATGTGTCTATAGCGATGTAGTCTTTGACTATAGTCTTTGACTGCATTTGTCTGCTGCACCCTTGTGCAAGTGTTTCTGGAAGATCGTGGCCGGCTTGGTGCTCGGCCGAATCTCTGGAAAGACCTGTGGAGAGATACGATGTGGTAGCACCTGCGAGCACATCGCTCGCATCCTGCGTGCCCTGTGGACCTTCGCTCCGGAAATGACACTCACCATCGCATTATACCAAACACGCCATGTATGGAATATATGACCACATTGACCCCTGAAACCACCCCAATGTAGGTAAATATTCCATACATGGAGTGTCTGGGATATGTATCATTATGTATTGATATGTTTTGCCGATGGCTCAAATGGACTCAATGTCAAGGGCATCTGTACGGCTGTGGTGCGAAGTCAGTCACTTGTGCACAGTATGAATGGATAATGATATAGTCCCATTCCATGCGCAACGGGCTTTCAGAAGCTGTTTGAAAGGACTGCAGTGCCAAGGTTTGAAGTGTAGCTCTATCATCTGGCACTTGGTTTCTGGAGCGGTGATGACTGCACATTGGCCGGTGAGGATTTCAAATCTCACCTGAAAATGGGTAAGAATCCGAAGAAGTGTCTTCCTTTTAGATTGGTGCAGAAAGGAAAGGTCTGAATTTCTTGTTCCGCCAAAACCGTTCATTGCTGATAATCCTTCAGTTGCAGGAAAAAAAAGTATCGAATTCTGGCAGGAAGCATGCCAAGCTGGTCTTAGACGACTCCATGACTACATCTATGCTTCATGGTGTTTGCAAACTCATCCTACATCTCCAAGAAAGACGTGCTACATCGCCCAAATGGGCCTAGAAGGGCTGCAAGCCGGATCTCCAGCCTGATTGGGATCCCACTGCCAGCAATTGTCCTGATGATGTGACCAAAGACTTTCAAACGCTTTCGAGCAGGCACTTGGCTCTTCTTCACTGAGCTGAAAAGCTTTACCAACTTCTCATGCTATTTCGGAGCGTAGTCTCACAGCCAAACTCCTTGTGAAGTAACCCTTTAACAGTTCCTCTAACAGCTTGCAGCATCATCGGAATCTATGCCACATAGAGAAGTCTGAAGATATCTGAAGAAGAACTGGTTGGTGAGTTTTCAACCATCCCCAAAACTACAACTGGGGATGTACAAAATCAGGAGAGCCAAAATCAAACATCTTGCCAAAACCACCAGATAGAAAAGAATTTGGGCACTTCCGAAACGACTTTTTCGCCACAGGTCTCAGATGGTCTCAACGGAGCGTCACAGGAGTTGAACAACATAAACATATTCTTTCGGCTTAACATGAAAGCCTGTACAGACTCCAACCAGTTCCAATTCAATTTCCAAACACGGTGAAACAAGCCCGTTCTGATCATGCCAACCCGAGAATGCGCTGGCGCGCGCGCTCGAAGGCGCCCACTTCGCCCCGTCCTGGTCGAAGGCGCCCACTTCACCCCGTTCTTCCAAATCACCGCCACCCACCTCCACGGCATCGTGGAGCTTCCAGGACTCCTCCACCGGTCGGGACGTCGGAGCACGTCCGAGTTCCGTCGCGACGCATCAAGAGTTACCCACTTTCTCCGTGCCTCTTACAGTAATGGTCTTCATCTAATGAATGCTTTCTACATCTTCTTGGCAGATCCATGGGAGCCCACCTTCAACCAGAAAGAATCGTAGATGCCATGATGCCCTGGCCTAAAGACCTTGTTCCAAATACCAAACAGGGGGTGCCATCCATATTTCTTGGATTTTCGATGGAGGGAGCGCTAGCGGAGAAACGTCACTCTGTGATCATGAATGGGGGAAGCAGCCACCCCAAGTCCAAGATCTCATCTCACCACGACAAAACATAGCTGCACCAACCTCCCTGGAAGATTATATAACAATATATAATATGCAACCTGGAACCTGAAAACCAGAAATCGGTTGTAGACCAAAGTGCTCTTCCAAGCTCCATGCCAGCTTCCCACGTGCACGTCTCTAACCCACAGACGTTTTTTCACAGCGGCCCATCGGTTTCGGTGGGCCTCACCCGGATCGAAGCGAATCTCGAAAGGGTTGATGACATCCTCAGCAAATCGCTGCCCTTCGAATCTATATCCTCCTGGACCCGCTGCGAGAGAAAGGTCGCTGCGCGGTGGAAGCATCCAAATGGCCCCCCGCAAGAAGAAAAGATCCCTGGACCTTGGGGGAAAGCAACAAAAAGAAACACATATCATATGCTCTCCAACCCCAAAAAAAGCATTTCCGTGTCCAGATTTTGCCAAAGCAATATCAGTTTGACAGCACAGTGAAAGCCCAAGGGACCGAAACCATTGTGACACCGCAGGTCCCTTTCATTTTTAGGACCGGATCCTGCGAATCAGCTTGAGCCAGTCGCAGTCCACGGTCGCTCACCCTTCAGCTCTATGGAACATCCAGTGCAAAAAAGGTCCAGAGTACCCTGAGTACCCAACCTGGATCTTCTGGAAACTATCTGTGGATTGAGATGGAAAAGAACTCTGGGCCATCATGGGCCATCTATCCTCATCTACTCTGAGGCTGGGCCCCCAGGCTCAGGTGAACCCCCCTCCCATCCCATCTGCTTCGGGTGATCCTGGTCTCCGCACCCAGCCAAAGGCGCGAGCTGCCTGCCTTGCGGTTTTCCAAGGCACATATCTATCCAAGGATCCACATCTCTTACGGTTCTCCACATCTCTTTCCACGGTTTTGGAACCCCTGGCTACATCAAAGTGCCGCCTGTCTCACCTTCTCAGGTATGAGGATCATTGAGGATCCATAGGGAGCCCTTAGAGATCCCAACATCTAAGGATTTGAGATCCTGAACCCCTAGGGTCCGACCCGTCGCGTTTGGGCAGAAGCACCGGAGTGCAAGATATCTGATGTCACTTCCAGCCCGTATCAGTCAATTCCTCTGTCAACCATGTCGGATGCGACCTATATATATATATATATCTACCCAAACACTCCATGTATGGCATATTATGTTTACATACATTTTCTTTAGACTGTCTGCACCTCATTGCCCAAACAGGAGATGCTTTTGGAACAAACAACTCCAAATTGAGTGAATTGGGTGGAAATGAAGGAAAGGTCCCAAGACAGGGTGTTTTGTTCAGGTCGCCCTGAACAGTGGAAAAAAACAAAGTCAGGCAGACGTTGTTTTTTTTTTAGACTTATCAGGACGAACCGAACGGATGACGTTACATTAGTAACAAGCCGCCTGTAAGGAATGCAACAAAAAACACTAACAACAAAATTCCTCCGGAAAATCGATCCAATTTCCAGATTCTTGCCGCACTTGCCCTGCGAAATGTCATCCCCTGATACTCCCTCTGCCTGGTTTTCCCGCCAGAATCCATTTTCGGTTTCAGACTCCAAAGCATCGAACTCGAAGGCTTGCATGTTATCCCTTGTTCTTGCTGCATGTGGCCCAATGAGCTGGTGGTTGACTGCCAACACTGGCAAGATCCGCTGCCGGGCATTCTGAAACCTGTGTGGCTTCAGTTATTGGGTGAAGCTCTTTCAGTCACCACCACACTTCAGAACTTCACCAACCTGAACTCTCGCACCAGCAGCAGCACCAGCACCAGCAAATCTTCCTGCTCGCCCAGCGACATGGGAGGGCACTGCTCCGGCCACCCGGAGCCCGGCTTCTGCGCCGGGCGCTCCGCAGGCACCTGGGTGGGGGCGCGTTTGGAGAAGTGAGACCACTGGTCCTGCTCATCTAAAGGACATCTTGGGGTTGTGCCATCTACTCTGAAACCACTGTGAGATGTCTTACCCAAACGCTCCACTGGTCGCCTAAAGTCGACTTTAGTGCCTCTTTCAAGCGGAGGAAGGAGATCCCAAACCCTCCAGAGAATTCGAGCTGGAGTCCTCTCACACATGGAGGGTCCAGGGCCGAGTCTGGGTAAAAATGTATAAATACAGATTTGGCAAACATGGGATCTTTGTGTATCTTTCTTGGACATCTTTGGTGTGAGCATGGCCGGAATGCTGCATCAGCGATCATAGAACCAAAATGGCACACATCGTCACACTTCCAAATTAGGCATGGCCTCTCCAGTGTGTCACACTCCACGCCGCTCCGATCCGCATCCTCTTTCACATGCGGTCTCCCAGGTCTCACTCTTGAAAACACCCGCGGGGTGTGGCTCCTCACCGAGTCTCCCAGCGGGGTGTGGCAACTCCGAGTGGAAACGGAAGTAGCGCAAGCTGGCTCCACGCGCCACCCGCGCGGAGCGGGATACCCGCTCGCGTTCCCGCTGGCGACAGGCCTTGCCACATGAAGAAACACACATGTGACAACCACCAGATTACTGACAAGAAAACATGTTGAAGGTTTGAACACATCATATGCGAAGACAGAACATCGTGGTTAACATCAACCTCCATGAGTGGTCCTACTGATTCAGTGGTATTCGAAAAAAACTTAAGTTGTGATGTTGTGGAAGGTGGCAAACTGAATATGTGTGAAACTCTTCCACAGAAAGGCCTTCGCGGAAATTGAGGCCATGTTCCAGGCCTGATGAGAGATATTCACCACAATTCTTCACATCTCAAACTCTCAAACAAGTCCTTTGTGAATTCAACGGATTGAACAAAAATCTTCCCGGTTTTCGAAGTGATGATGAAATCACACTCCGGGATCGGGCAGGCCGCCTGGTTCATCACGCCCAAGTACGTGATGGTACCAATGGCCATCGAAGAATAGCGATCCACCTGGAAGAACGATTCGAAGCCCAAGGAAGAACGTGAGAATGAACATATAAATGGATGGACAGGATCCACCCAACGAGGCTCAGCGAGGATCCGAACTTCAAACCTTCAGTAGGTCGTTTCTGTTTGTTTGTTTTACGGAAAAAAACAAAGAAAGGAACATGCCAGGAGGGCAAGGGGATCACTTGCGACACCAAAACTGGATCACTTGCGACACCAAAACCTACCCAAGACAGACTCGCTTGCGACACCAAAACTGGATCACTTGCGACACCAAACCTACTACTACTACTACCACTACTACTACTACCACCACCATTACTACTACCACTACCACCACCACCACCACCACGACTACTACGACTACTACGCACAGGCATACGGGCACACGGGCATACGGGCGCACGGGCACACACGGGCACACACACGGGCACACGCACGGGCATACGGGCACGCACGGGAGAACGGACACACACTGGGGAATGAGTCTTGAAGTTGGAACGTTAGGGCGCTGACAGAGCCCAGAACCTCCTAAGTGTGTGTGATGGAAAAATTCCAAAAAACAAGCGATGTCGGCGACACGAACGATCAATGCATTAGCCCTTTACGGCAAGTTAAAAATGTGATGCAGGTACGTCAGCAAGCGTCCTTGCTGATATCAGCACAACCTGAAGAGCCTCTTTGTTAGATGCCCTCTCTAGGTGTGGGGCATCCCCCTGCTCTCCAAAGTCGATAAAGGTCAAAGAAGCTCGGCAACCGCGTGTAAGAGCGGGCTACACACACACACACACGAGGCCCTCCCCGTGGAGGGCTCAGACTTCATGAGTAGGCCTTAACAGTGACTGTAGTGTCCCGAAACTCGTTTTGCGCCGAATAAGTTCCAAGCCAATGGGTCTGATCAGCATCATTAGTTTCCCCTATTCTCGAAAGTCGATAAAAGTCAAAGAAGCTCGTCAACCGCGTGTAAGAGCGGGCTACACACACAAGGCCCCTTTGGTGGAGGGCTCAGACTACATGAGTAGGCCTATGCACAACAGTGACTGTAGTGTCCCGAAATCGTTTTGCGCCGAATAAGTTCCACGCCAATGGGTCTGATTCGCATCCTTGAACTGAATGACTTCATTCGATCAGCATGACATCCAAATGCCAGTGTGTGTCACGACGTTGTGGCATCTTGACTGAAAACCGGTGTGCCTCATAAAGTAACGACACAGCAAAACTACAAAACCGTCAAAAGTTGGACGCCCTCGCTGTTAGGTTGGAGGCCGTCGAAGGCAAGTGAAGGGGTCATCGTTAGCAGGTTGGTGACAAAGAATGAAACTGCAAAACTGCAAAACCGTTGAAGTTGGAGGCCCTCGCTCTTAGGTTGGAGGCCGTCGAAGGCAGGTTAAGAGGCCATCGCTAGTAGGTCGGTGACAAGAAACGAAACTGCAAAACTGCAAAACCATCGGGTTAAGTTGGGGGCCCTTGCTCTTAGGTTGGAGGCCGTCGAAGGCAAGTTAAGGGGCCATCGCTAGTAGGTTGGTGACAAGAAACGGAACTGCAAATCTGCGAAACTGTCAAAATTGGAGGCCCTCGCTCTTAGGTTGGAGGCCGTCGAAGGCAGGTTAAGGGGCCATCGCTAGTAGGTTAGGGACAAGAATCTGCAAAGATGAGTAGAAAACTGTGATCCCCTGCTCTCGAAAGCTGCTGGTGGACTTGCAGAGATGGAGCGAATCAGTTTGACCGGCAATCGAGTTCTCACCTCCCACGAGCAACATCAAAATGAAGTTGCCTATATGGTATACCGTGCAGCCACCAATCAATTGGCCAATCTTGCTCTTGAAAAGAACCAGGTAAGATGGCACGTTCGGCCAAAGAGCCACATCCTTGAACATCATATATATGATTTCAGTCATTTGAACTTGAGATACACCAGCAACTACCTCGATGAGGACTTTGTCCGAAGGACAAAACGTGTTGCGAGCGTTGTTCACCCCAGGTATATGTTGCAAGGAACACATTGCTTCGGTACTGCTTAGCAGCCACCTTGCGATGGAGCGACCAGGTCATCTAGACCGAAAAAAAAATTCTGGCGGCCATGAACGGACAAAACCAACACGGACACAGGTGCCCCACTGAGATTCCCAGGGTAAAGGTTTCCATGTGTGCGCGTGTGTCTATATACATACAATATAAATATAAAGAGGCTCAAGCTAGCGGTTTGCTTTCATCCGCTGAAGTATTCCCATCGCCCGGAAAAGGTTTTGGAAAAGAAACGTGTCAGATTCTGTCAGATTCGTGTGAAATAGCGTGCAAGCGTGACTTGCAAGTGTGATGGATCAGTTTTTACTACGCAGGTGCAGCGATTTGTGAGGTCTGACAAAGCGTGCACACTTGACACAGATGTTTGTGGAGAAGCTGGTGACTTGACACCGGCGTCTGTGGCGACACCGGCGTCTGTGTTGACACCGGCGTCACCAATGTGCTGGTTAGGCCTTCCTGGAAAGAAGCTCGTCAACGGCGTATAAGAGTGGGTTACACACACAACACACAAGGCCCTCCCCGTGGAGGGCTTAGACTTCATGAGTAGGCCTATGCACAACAGTGACTTCTCTGACGGTAGTGTCCCGAAAATCGAACCGGTTTGTGCCGGGTCTGATAAGCATCCTTATAGATTGAAAAACCTCAGAACTGAGTGCCTTCATTCGATCAGCATGACATCCAATTGCCAGTGTGTGTCATGACGTTCTGACATCTTGACTGAAAACCGGTGTGCCTCATAAAGTAACGAAACAGCAAAACAACAAAACCGTGAAGTTGGAGGCCCTCGCTCTTAGGTTGGAGGCCGTCGAAGGCAAGTGAAGGGGCCATCGTTGGAGGCCCTTGCTCTTAGGTTGGAGGCCGTCGAAGGCAAGTTAAGGGGCCATCGCTAGTAGGTTGGTGGCAAGAAACGAACTGCAAAACCGTCAAATTGGCAGCCCTCGCTCTTAAGTTGGAGGCCGTCGAAGACAGGTTAAGGGGCCAACTCTAATAGGTTAGTGACAAGAAACTGCACGTATGAGTAAAAACGACGACCAGAGGTCCAAGAAGAAGGAGGCCAAGAAACCATGTTGAGGGGCCCAACTGAATCAACTCAAAAGGTTGGGACGGCGTAGTTTCCCAAAGGAGCTCAAATCAAATCGACTTCTACCGCTTTGCAACTGCGCTCGATGGCAGCTTCTGCCGCTTTGCAACTGCGCTTCATTGCAGCTAAGAACAGTCTGTCTGAAGACTGTGTTTTCCGCTTGTGAGCAACTATGCAACACCACATTGGTGTGCAAGATTCTGGAACCTCCAAAATGAGGACCAATGTCTGCTCGCGGGAAGGCCCGTGCCGACTATAGAGTCCCACGAAGGGTCTCGACGGTGTTGCCAATTCCGGCGTGCACCCTCTACACACTGGGGAACTTGAAGTTGGAACGTTAGGGTGATGACAAAGCCCAGAACCTCCTACGTGCGTGTCCTTGAAAACATTTGAAAACTTCAAAAACCAAGCAAAGTCGGCGACACGATCATCAATGCATTAGCCCTTTACGGCAAATTAAAAAGGTGATGCAGGTACGTCAGTAAGCGTCCTTGCTGATATCAGCACAACCTGAAGAGCCTCTTTGTTAGATGCCCTCTTTTCAGGTGTGGGGCATCCCCCTGCTCTCCAAAGTCTAAAGGTCAAAGAAGCTCGGCAACCACGTGTAAGAGCGGGCTACACACACACCGCCTCCAACCAGCTGAGATATTGCAGCAGGGTTCCAGCATTTGGAGACTCCTTAACCGTTAACAGCTGACTGGACCTAGTAGAAGCGCCTGAAAAATGGTAGTAGAAGCTGCGCTAGAAACTCTGGTAGAAGCTCAGTAGAAATGCCATAGAAGCACTAGTCGACTAGTAGAACCCCCATAGTAGAACGTCAGATGGAAGCCGTAGTAGAAAGTGCTGCTGCTACTACTACTACTACCACCACCACGACCACGACCACAACCACGACCACCACCACCACCACCACCAGACGACAACGACGACGACGACTACTACCACTCACAGGCACACGGGCGCACGGGCACACACGGACACGCGGGCACGCAGGGGCATACGGGCGCGTCACAAGTGAGCCAACAGCTCCGCGTCACAAGTGAGGCCGAAATCCGCGTCACAAGTGAGCCCCTTTCCTGCCAGGAGCCTTGAAAGGTCTTATCCCCTGATGCATCCCCTCATGCTGATCACTGATACGCCCAAACACCAAATCCAGAATCAAGTCTCCGACTGGGGTCTGACTCCGGAGCAAAGGCCAAGAAAGCCACCATCGAATGACCGGCTAGAACAACTATATGTGTATTTATATATTGTAGTTAACATATATATAGTATAAAGTATATATGATTAATATATGATTATATATTATATATGTTATAATACATATTTATACATATTCATACATATTTATACTGTATACATCTGTATACACTGTAGTCTGCAAAGCCTAGCTACCACAATTGAAGTGAACGGGACAGCGGCAAATGACACAGTTGACCGTCCTGAAACGGGATTGTCAAACAAATATTGATCCCCAAAATGTGCTGGCCTCTGGAAAGTTGGGCGCACACCGCCGTGTTGGTTGGCGTGCCACAATCTGCTCCACTCCTGCACTGATCAAAAAGTGGAGACAAAGTTGACTCCAAATGGATTGTCTGCTTCACGCAAGATCACAGTATATCACAGTAGTGTTTTGTCCTTGCAAAGGTTTTCGGGAAAACAAATCACACCCTCCCAGTCCAAGATCTATGATTTGAGGTTTCCCACATGCTTCCTGTGACTTCTGAATGTTCGCTTGCGATGGATGCTTCTGCCCCACACGTTTTGACATTGACATTGACTTCGGCCGGCCTGGCATTCCGGAAACGGAAGCCACCAGCATGGCGCTGAAGATGATGAGACTTCGAGAAGAAGTTGCGAAGAATCCGCGGACTTTGGGTTTGAAGTACGTATACGTACATACAGTAGAATCAACCAAAGCCGCATTGTTTCTATAGAGTTCTGCTTGCTCCCTCTTCACCTGTTCAGAAAGTCACTCCATGAAACTCTTAGCTGCTAAGAGATCCCTTAAGCCTACGCCCACGCCTCCATCTTCTTCTATGGACTCATGGCGTGGGAGCCGCTAGGATTTGATTTACCAGCTATCCGGATTGGAATAGACCACTTAATGTGGCATCACTTGAGACGTGAATTTTGGGCAATGCAGTCTGAGTTCATGTGTAATTGCATGGCCTCCACATGTCATCAGTCCTGGTAAACACCCAGGACTGAAGCAGCCAAAGCAGGACATCCAAACACCATTTTGGGCAGCAGCATGTTGCTGCTTCTTCTTCTCAATCTACTACATCATTAACGAGGTTTTTTCACCACTTCAGCCGCTCCATGGGCCAGGGTCAAAATTCAGTGCGCTCACTAGGTCACTAGCCCCGTTTCACGAGTCCATCTGGTATGCACCTAAGATGTGGCTATATATATATATGACAGCGCGGGCAACCCGGCCTGCTATTTCGCGACCAGCCGGCCGGCCGGCTGGCCAAATATCATCACATATCGTTGTTGGTTAATTCCGTGTATATATATGCAATACATATATATATATTATTAACAAATAACTCGCATCAACGGATTTTGACCCCCCCCCATGTAGCCGATGTCAGCATTTACCAGCAATGCCTCTGAATCCAATTCTAAACACAAATCACATGGTTCCTTCATCCTTCGTCCTGTGCATGGAGTTTTCAGCACACCATGGGTTAACATTCCCGACGTCAGAGGCCGCTGGGAAAGCCCTGCGACTGAGTGCCTCTACGAAGATGGCCCCATCTCATGGAGAAGGTGTCCAAGGTGCTGCTTCTGAAAAAACCGTGCACCGAGGTCAACCATTTGCAAAGCGAGACTCAAGTGAGTCTCGCCAACCGAATAAGTCTGTTAGGCCAAAAAACAAGTCAGTGTTTTTGTTGAGTTTGCTTTGCTTCAGGAGAGTAGGGAGAATAGACTGGGTCGACCTCGCTCTAGACCGCTTTGGAAGAGCTGCCTGAATTCAAGTGGAGTGACAATGACGACGGATGGCAAGGTCCCGAAGGCACAGTTCAACAGAAAGAGAAATTAGGAAGTGGTCACTCACAACATCTCACAACCAAACACTGCTGCTTTTGCCCAAATCCAGAACGGCAACAAAAAATAACGAAAGAATGGATCTGGCTGTCAACTCCTTTCACAATAGGATCAGCTATCCACGTATTTTGTCCAGTTGCCCTTAACTGAGTCGTCACTCAAGTGCATGTTACACAGCTGCTGTGCAAACCATTGCAGCTCTCACAGCCACTTTCTATCCCTCTACAAAGATTTGGGACAATGCAATGTGCATGTTCACAGACCATCAGTTGCCCACCCCAGAAATACCTCAATTGACAAACAAAGGTCATGTGTTTTTGTCGTTCCTCATCACATCTGGCATGCATTTGTTGATGCACAAATTGTCAAGCAGTGGCGTTGGGAGGCAATGGTCAAACCAGCTATCGATTGAGTTGGCACTCTCGCCCGGGTCCGGATCAGCGTTTTGGTAAATAAACAATATTTCATTGATGTCAAACTATATATAGAATCATTTAAACAAAACACATCGCAAACTTCATGGCACCAGCGACCCATGGAGAAGAACCTGATCTTTGGTGAGACCTACACAGGAGAAGGAAGTAGATCTCATCAACATCGCATCGCTGCACTCTTGCGAGAGGTCATCGTGGATGTTGTTAAATGATGTAGTAAACACCTCGTAGCACAGACGTGAATCAACAATGCTTTCGGAGGACTAAACTGAACATCTTTGCCACAAACATGCTTGACAAGTAGATTTCATCAAGATGCAGCAGGTCCTGTCTGCAATTGTTTGCCCTTGCCTCAGCCACACTTGGTGATCTGTCTTCAAGACTCAACAACCAGCAAACGCGAACACACACACACAATCGTCCAAATGAGGATTCATTTGCAACAACTGCGGCGCACTTCAGTTCGCAACAGGATAAGTATATAATCGAAACAGTTCAACATGATTCAAGCGATCTGAAGTTGAACTAGAAGTGGCTCTGTCTGAGTTGAACTAGAAGTCATAATTATAGTTTAAGTTCTCCCCACGATTGTTGGCAATTTCCTGGATCTGCAGCCCAAGTGCGGATCCCAAGACTTTATCCATCTTCACCGCTTCGGCGAACTGATCGCGGAAACACATCTCGCCCAATCTTTTAATCTGAGCATCATCAAAGTGCACTACCTGATGGCGTTGGAGGAAGGTTGGAGTGAGATAACACACGATCGAACAAAAATATGCAACTGTTCAAGAATGCTCAGATTCGGATTGAGGGAGTCTGGAAAGGATTTCACATGAGTGTGTCTGACACCATGGGGACACCATGGCACACCCAACCAATGGGCTTTTGATGGCTAGCCTGTCTGTTTTCCTTCTTCCAGAAGTCTTTGGGAGCTCTCCGTATTTTCAGTCATACCCACATCACTTCCGAGGTCTTCGCCTCTCAAGTGGGTTTTCGTAGCAAATCCCAGCACAAATCTGGCCCCTGCAGCGATCGAAAAGGCATCCCTAGGCCCTAGCATCTAGGTCCGATCACCCAAACAGTCCCGCGCCTTTTCATGCAGCTTCCGGTGGATCCGTTTATGCACATAACCTGTGAAGCCACAGAAAAATGGTTCTGAAAATACTGTCTGTTTGCTGTTTGCAGGTCAGCTTCAAGGATGCCTTCCTCTTCACCTCATGCATACATATATATATATATATCACTATATATTTATTTATGTTGTGTTTTGACATTGAAAGTGCGCAATCCAAAAGCAACTCTGCAATTAATTTTGGTGTTGGACTGCGGCGGGGCCATGTCAAGCACTTGTTGCCAACCTCAAAACGTTACATGTTTTGTCAACACTATTCCAATTCGTAGTAATTTTAGGTATGATCTCATTTAAATTCGGCTGCAACTCAGTATTGCAAGATCGCCTAGCACATCACTGTGTCTGTTGCAAACACCATCAGCCACAACAAAAAGTGCTCTGGGGAACTGCAAGGCCAGCGCAAGGGAAGCCACTTCCATCAATGTGCTTGATACAGGTTTGCACAGAACAAGCACATGCGTGCGGGGCTCTGACTGATTGGTTGGCCGCGTCTCAATCACTCCAATCACAACTCCTTCAATCACCTTTATCATCTCCTCCGAGTTAACTAAGCTGCCTTCCCATGGCCTTCCCGTCCGAGCTCATCGAAGAGCGGATGAGCCGTCTGTACCAAGCTAGCCAGCTGCAAGGTCCTAAGGTGCTCAGGCCCAGCAACCACTGCTTGGCTAACTACTGCATGGTCACTTGAACATAAACCTACCAGGCTGAACAAATACATTGGAGCCTCCTCCCCGGTGGGTTCACAACACTCTGAACCTGGGTGTTCAAAAACACACACAGCAACCCCCCACGGCTCGGAGCTGCAGCTGGTCCGACTCCCCGGGTCACCCGCTCCGGGCGGTTCTACAAGCCCCAAGCAGTGGACTTGACTGAGTAGGAGTGGGCCAAGAGCGATTTTTGCAGGTGGTTGGAAAGCAAACTTCAATGGGTGGTCTTTGTACAAAAAGGAGCAGAGCAAGTCAGCAAGAAGGCCAACGTTTTTGCAGTTTGAAGGCCAACCTGTGCAGCTTGAAGGCCGACTCATAGGTCTTTTAGCACACGCTCCTGCTTCTGATACCTTCTCCAGTATGTCTTCATATGGCTCATATATGTCTTCCCTTACCACTAGTGTTACCGTTTGCAGCTCCCCCAAAGGGTGGCCATTTTTTGTGGTATGTTTTCCGGGCAGCTTGGGGAATTTGTCCGGGAGTGTTTTGGACAGCAGAAGCGGCAGCAGAAGCGGCTAAGGACGAGGGAGCGAAAGGGAGGGAGAGAGGAGAGAGAGGGGGAGGAGGAGAGAGCTTCTTGGGTTTCGCCTGGTCCTTGCTTGCTTGGTGAGAGGAGTGAGACGGAAGGGTGACTCTGGAGTAAGGGGGGCTCAAGTGGAGTGGTTCCTTGCGGGCAGGGCTTCGCGTGCATGGGTCCTTCCTTCTCTAAATTCTGCCCGGGGGTGTCTCACAAAAAGTCTGCCGCATTGGAATGGCTATCCTCGTCTAAATGTTACCCTCGGGTGGCTCACGAAAGGTATGCTACAAACCCTAAGGGTCCTTCCTCCGCAAACCCTGGGGGGGTTCAAAGTACCCACAGGAAAACAAAAAACCCAAATACAGCCAAATACATGTTCTTTCCACTAGAAGCCATCAAAAGGCGACCAACGGCAGAAGCAGCATAAGCAGGACAAGCAAAACCAAAGCAGGCAACATCAAAGGTAAAGGCAAAAGCAAACGTCAAAGGCAAAAGCAAGAGCGAAACACCAGTGGAGAAAAAAGAAGCACACACACGCAAACCAAAATTGTCTGGGAAAAAAAACGTACACGAAAAGTCCGGTTTCCCCCAAATGGGCCATCAAGCATCATCTAAGAAGAGTGTGTGCAGTACATTAATGTATACATTTGTTAAAAAAAACTCTATATAAATGGGTATCAAGCATCTCAAATCCAAAGCCATCGGATCCATCATCTACCGTCCCTATCTTCGACCGCCCACCCATCCTTTCGTACGGCCCAAGCGACACTCGGTTCTGCCGCTGGATGTCACGGCAACCGCTGGTCGTCTGTGTCGCAAACGGGCCCGGTGGATGAAGCTGCCTGCATGGCAGAGCTCCATCCGCTCTGCAAAAGTGACACACGGTATCCCTGGATCTTCAAACGGCACAAATTTTTGCCGGAGGCATTTTTTAGTGGAAAGACGCCGTAATCAAAAAATAATGCCGTTTTATGGGTTGTACAAAATCCATGGACGGGGAAAGACGCCGTTTGGACGCCCAAAGACGCCGTTTGGACGCTTAAAGACGCCGTTTCTTTTTGCTTTCTGCCGGCGTGCGCCTCCTCACAACAAAAAACGCCGTCTTTGGAAAAAGACGCCGTAACGGCATTTTCTCCTGAAAAGGCAATTATTTGTGCCGTTTCGAAGATCCAGCGCTTACGGCATTCTGGACAGCAAAGCACTACTGTGATGGTTCTTTTTTAAGGCATTCTGGAAATTTGCCAACTACATCCAACTACTGTGAATGCCATTTCTATACCATTTGTTCACACCAAAAACGCAGTCCATCCTTATCGAGTGGGTCGGCAAAGCGATGCAAGCATCTGTGAAGTACTGTATCAGCCAATCAGGATCAACATTCGCAGCCATGGGTTCCAACAAAAAGATTCTGCACCACTGCACGACATGATCTCCACGGAATTGCAGGCTCTTAAACCAGATGGTGCAGGATGTGAACATGGAAAACACTTCTTCCCAGTCCCTAATTACTGTTGGCCAAAATGATCCAAAATGTAAATCACAGTGCCAACTTCTTGGGACATGGCTGTGCTGATGTCTTCCAGTCGCAGATTTTCCGGGTGACATGTGTTCTTTCAGGTGGTCTGAAGACGACATGCCCGTCTCTACACGCCACGATCGACACGCCAGGACCCACAAATGGACACCTCTCAACCTCCGGGACCCCAAGACATCGACACCCTTTACGCCAACTTGACGCACGTCGTCTCACATCTCGTCGGGTCGTCTCACACATGTGACGTCGTTTTCTCCTATGTCCGCCCCCACAGGCGGCACTCCAATGACTCGACGTCTAGAGGTCTCCGTGGCCACGGGGCCGAAGCGTCGAGCGACTTCGTGGCCGAAGCGGTCCCCCTGGGGTTCAGCTGCTCCACCCCTCTTCTGCCTCCACCTCTCAGTCTCTGCATCCTTCTCGTTCGTCTTCGAAGACCTCACAAACGGGCAAAAGTCACAGGGTGACACCATGCTGTTGGCATGTAACATGGGTGTGTATTTTGATCATTCTTAATAGGGGGACCCGCAAACAGTCAGTTTTGGTCTGTTTCCCTTCTTCCGGGGGGTTGAAGGTAGCGGGGGGCGTCGGTCTCCCTATACCCACATCGCTTCGGTCTCGAAAACCCTGCGCCGCTACTCACGCGTAGAATCTACGCGGCCTCCAGTCGAGGTGATCCGCCAATGAAATGACCTGCGGCGTGAGTAGCGGCTGAACTCGTTCAGTTCGCTTGTTGGTGGGGTCGAGTTGGCTGCGAGTTCTCGCTGCGGTGCTTCTTTTTCAGACATGGAAGATCCTGCCCTATCCTCTCGGTCGAATGGATCCTTACCGTTTTGGATGCCAAATCAATACAATCTTCCATGAGTTAAACGGGTAATGACGTGTGGGGGGTCTGAAAAACTGGTCAGGAAATGTGTGCGCCATCTCCTTTTTGTTTCATTTCGTGGTCACTCAGGCTGCAATCGTCACCTTTGTCTCATCTGCTGCCTTCTGTTCAGGCACTTCTGGAACAAGGCGAGTTTCCTCAAATCGCTTCAGCCGAGTCGTTTTGCCTGAAGAAGAGGCAACTTTCTGTGGCAACAGGGATGAACACCTTGGCGGGGTGCAAAACAGTTGGCCATCACCTAGGGTCACTCTCCAAACCCTAAACCGGCGACTTCCCCAAACTAAACCGGTGCCCAAACGCACCATTTGGGCACCGGTCCCTCCGAACAGCGAACCCAGACCGGCCCAAAGCCTCCATAACTTCGGGTCCAATCCCTCCAGAGGGGTCGGTGCGATGTTCCCTCTGACTCTGGGTGTTCTTTCTTTCCCCAACTTCACACAACTTCACACCCTAGAAGTCCAGAGACATCTATTTGGACCGACTGAAGTACAGCAAAATGTTTACCTGGACTCGGGTCACCTAGTCAGACCATTCTTTTTATAGTCTTTGACTCCCAGGGCACAAATTTCGACCTCCTCATGACTTCCCGTGGTGTGACTTGCCACTTCTTGCCACTCCGAGCGGCTCGGCTGTTCAACTTGCTCAACTCGTGGTCGGAGGAATCCTGGCAAATTTGATGGCTGAATACGAAAAAAATAGAAAAGAAACCATCACCAGGTTGGTGGGATTCCAACCAGGTTTTGTGGGATTCCAATCACCCGATGACGATCACCCGACTGACAAGGAACTGACCTGTTCCAAAGAAGCCTGGCTTGGTCACCAAAGACAGCACGAACCAGCTTGACTGTTTTTGGTGTCCACAAGCCTGCCAGTTTCATGAGTGGACTGGTCTTTATGGAAATGAAGCTTTGGAGAAGCCAAAAGCCATCAAGTGTTCAGTTGACCCCACAATTGCATGGAACCCTAACATCCGCGAGAAACACGACTATAGTCTGACAAGCACGGACAAACAACAAACAGCTTGATGATGTATTAATGACTATGAATCTTTTGAGAAACACAACCATGGACCATGACCAAACAAAACAGGCAAACACGATCATCAGATCCTGCTACTCTTTCCCAGGTTCAGGATTGGTTTTACCAGAGCCAAGCGACACTTCCGCTTGCGCGTTCGAAGTGTTCTTCCAATGGGTCCTGGCAAGTCCAGGCTAACCAGGCCCCTATTGACACAATGGCCTTGAATCACTTGCAATCTGATGGAAAACAGCTTGGGCGTTCCCTTCTCCAATCTGGACATTCAAACATCTCTACTGACTCGACTTGGGATCAACAACGCTAGGCCCCGTGCTCCATGGGTAATCCAGCACTAATGCTATCTGATGTTAGAGGTCCACCTATATGCTCCTGGTCAGTATAGAAGAACCAATCCACGAGAGAGAGAGAGAGAGATAACAAAGGTTCAGAAAGTGTTAAATCCACTCGAGACGGCTAAATGAAGGGCTCCGCCCCTGGCAGGATGGTCAAAGACTCATGTGTTCAGGAAGACCAACCCCATTCTATAACTCAAAGCCACTCTGATATAACACCGTAATCACATATCAAAACATCAGCGACCAATCTGCCTGGGGAGACTCAATCTTCTCCGTGTTCGGAAGAGAGGGTGGGCGTCCGACCAGGACAGTGTCACCGATAAAACCTACCAGGACAGGGGTCTCTTGTTCAATGGGAACACCCTCCCATACTATTCCAGGAACACGCATATCCTAAAAGCCCATGCCATTGGGGCGGGGTAGTCTCCCTATTCCCATATCGATCATATGCATTGCCCTCGATGCCTTGACAAAGCTCCAACTGCATTCGAAGATGCTTTCCATCTCCCAGTGCTCCCCTCGTCGCAATCTCTGCATCACCACTAAAAATATGAAGGTCACAACATCTCAAAATAAGTGGCTTGTTGTGCTAACTTAATTGACACATATTAAGCATATATATATATACAATAATAATACTGTATATCATATATATATATATTATACACAAAACTTCAAAGCAATCCTTTGCCAATTCCTATGCTTTTTCCATAGAGCTTATATTGCAAACTTCCAATCTTCTAGCATGGGCCTGAACTCTTGGTCTCGTCGCCAATGTAAAAGTTCTCACAGTCTAGCCTGAACAGCTCGTGATGCTGTTTAGCTCGTTCAATCGAATGTGGGCTGTTGATGAATGAACAAATAAACTACCAGAATGGCTTCACACGTCTATATGAGGGGGCTTTCAAGTCGGCATTGATTTTCCACTGGATTCACCCTTACCCCACCTATACTGTACATTCATCTACTTGCCCTCTCCCAAACGGGTGCATGTACACCGAACGTGGTCCCCTTCTTCCAAAAAACTCCACCCGTCGACGGCATGTCACTTGGACCAAAAGCCGATGGCTTAAAACACACAGACACACACACACACTAAATATAGGAGTTGCAAATCAACACAGCCATCAATAACCAGTACATCACACACTGACTGGTATAGCACGGCATATCTTACTTTACAGCTCTTTACTCTGAAAAACCCACCATTCTGAGGGGTCTTGAAACAAGCCCCACATGGGCATGTGCCACTGTTTCCAAGCCGAACTCAAACCTTCGTCTGGCATCTTGATCAAATCTTCACATGCTACACGTCCAGGTGACCATGACAGGGGCGAATCGCAAACATGTTGCTTCGCATGGATAACGCATGGATCTGCCCATCAACCCCATGGTATCCATCTGAGAATCCACAGGCGCCAAAATTTCCCAGAACATTTAGCGATACTCATGGCCAGTGGCGTGTGAGACTCTGGCGCTGAACTCCTTGCAGGAAAGCCATGGAAACGGGGAGGTCCCAAGCATTTTAAGCAAACACGACCGAACTTGCTGGGAATACGGAAAAGACCGGAAAAGTATATATATATATATTATAGTCCGTTTACCTGAATTAGGATTGATCCAGGAAGAACAACGGAAAGGGTCCTGGTAGCCATTGGTCGCCTGTTCACCTCAGGATTGATACCTTGCAAAATAATGAATGAACTCCAGTACCTAGTAGCTTCTTGCTCCTAGTAGCGATGCCAGGAGCCCCTATTTCCTTTATTGCTCCTAGTAACGATGCCAGGAGCCCCTAGTATATACCCTGTACCTCCAAATCCTTTGTGAGCAGGTGTTTGGGAAAACACCTTCTGAGAAGGGGTTCAGGGTCAAAACCATCCTGAGAAGGGACTCGGTTGCTGAGTACGGCCTGAGGCTCAAATGGGTCATGGAAGTGATCAATGAGCCAATTGTGATTTGCAATATCTTTGGATTCCATGGTTGGAGATGATAGTCACAGTTGTGATCACCAAGAATCCAGTAGTGTTCCGCTTGATTTGCATCACTTGACAACAGCACAGCTTGGCCTCATGGTGGATCAGGTAAGGGACTGGGGATTTTCCACCAAATTCCATCAAGCAGTCACGGAGAAACATGTAGTTGTTGCACATGTTTTCCTCCCAGATGGTTTGCTTCTTGCATTCAGCGGAAGCCCTCTGAATGGAAGACAACTCAACGAGTTAAACATGAAAGGAAATCTAGAGAGCTTGGAAGATGACCAATCCTTAGCTCAAGGATGTTCAATGGATAGGCTGTTATTCTTCCCATGGTTCCCATGGTGCAATGGGGCTGCTCCGATCGGCTGCGCTGAAAGGCGCGGTGGCCGGTGCTTGTACAATGGGATGTTCCAACATGAGGGTTGTGCCAACCAGCTCGCACAGCCCTTTTTGCATGCAATCCGAAGTTTTGGGCTCGTGGCACCTTAGATGGCCGGGACAATGGCTGTCCGCGAGGTGCGCACGGATGAGGGGATCAGGATTGTGACCCACCCTTTGCGGTTCAAGGTGTCTGAGTCTTGGTGGCATGTGGGCCTTCAAGGGGTGGTTGTTTTGCTACATTGGTTCATGCATGCTTTAGTGTAGAATGTACCTGGTTCATCCTGATTCCAACATTCCTCATTCCAATGAGGAGATCGCTGAGAAAATATTTCAGACGATCAAGCCGTACGTTGAGAAGAACATGTCCCACATTGTTGGGATGGCTGATTCGGATGTCACTTGGCAAGCTATATATATATTAGATTCTATATTTATACTGTATTTGGTATCATGTGCTGGCCAGGGTGTTTGCATGTGGACAACAATCCTCGACCTGTCATGAGATCAAGGTTGCAATAGTTCAGTGGGGTGAACGCAAGAAGCAAGCCATCTGGGAGGAAGACATGTGCAACAACTACATGCTTCTCCGTGACTACTTGATGGAATTTGGTGGAAAATCCCCGGTCCCTGACCTGATCCACCATGAGGCCAAGCTGTGCTGTTGTCAGGTGATGCCAGTCAAGTGGAACACAACTGTACTGGGTTCTTATAAGATCACAGCTGTCACTAGCATGTCCAACCGAAATCCTTTTGTTCAGGCTGCATTTCTTCTGGTCAGTGTGACCTACAACATGCACGCCCAGTTCTATGGGAAGCGAGGAGGAAGGGGAGTCATGAGAGAATCTTGCCTCAAGTGTGGTCGAAAGGGTATGTGCATGTATGTGCACATTAGGGCATGTTGGTGAGTTCAAACTGGAGTGAGGCCTTTGCCAATTAGGGCATGTTGGTGAGTTCCAACTGGATCCGAGGCCTTTGCCAATGTGGAAGCAACGCGCCTTAGATGTTTGGCGGCCCACATGATGCACATTACGCAAAGGTCTCCGCATGCAAGGCAAGGCTTTGTGTGAGCACGCTGCACGGTCTCATGCCCACTGGTTCCTCTTCGTGGCAGGAATGAGCAAATACAGGTTTTGAAGACCATTATCACCAAATTGCACCTCAAGTTGGGGAATCCTTTGCGGAAGCGATCTGCTTCATCAATGTCCCTTGATTCTGAGGTGGGCTACCCCAAACATGAGTGAAAGGGTTTGAAACCTTGTGGGTCAAAAAGCTTTGTGTTCACCAGGAGTCTTTGGCGGTGACCAACGCTTATATGCAGTCTGCAGACGGTTTGTTGGAGCTGAAACCCCAGGCTGGCTCACCTGAACTCAAGGAAGATCTTCAACTTGTTTTTTCTCCAGGATGATCCAACTACCCCCGAAATGGTGGAGGACTTGGAACAGGTGAATGCCTCAGATCTAGAATTTGAAGTGACAAATACACCACAACTCACAACGAAGGACTTCCACAATCCTTCCCCCAGCTATCTCCAAGGCACAGCAGTCACGTGATCGGCTGACGCCAGCTCCTGGAAGCACTCGGAAGAGTCTGAGTTTTGAGGGTCTTGAGGACTCAGACTCAAATGATGAAGAGGTGGGTTGATATCGTTGCATACTTTCTACATATTTTCAACGTACAAATATATATATATATATCAGTAGATGCAGTTTCTGACCTGCTTCAATAGTTGCAGTTCAAATTTTCCGCTTTGTTTGGCAGCACAGGCTGCTCCTGAGACTCTCGCGAAGGAACTTCGATTGGTAACTCCAAAGGACACTGGTAGTAAATTGTTGCTGCGAAGAGTTTGTGTGTAGCCTCAACGCATATCCATGCCTACAGACTGAAAAGCGGACCCATTTATTGTCTATATGTCTGTTCGGCTTTGGTCATGTCATGGCATGGCTAATGGATTGGATGTGTGTCTACACTGGTTTCAGAGTGGTTGATGCGCGAGGATCGCAAAGAATCTCGCTCTCCGTTGGTGAAGAACCCGCCGACCTTGCCAGAGTTTATGCAAGAGCAGCAAGCTGCAGAGACCAGTGTGGAAGCACTGTATACCAAGCAGACTGCTTTGAAGAGTCTGCTTGATGAGGTGTGCGAATGGTTTTTGGTTTAGTCTTCTGTACATGGCGCATCATTATGCGTCCTTCCGCTTACCTGGTTTCCCTGATAGGAGAAAAGCAAGGAAGATGCTGCAAAGAAAGCAAAGAGGGATGCAAACAAGGAAGCAAAGAAACTCAAAGAGCAGCAGCCAAAGAGACCTAGAGGTAGGCCGCCAAAAAGGAACAATACACCAGCAGGGAAAAGCGAGACAGTGACTAGCCCAAAGGCAACTCCCAAGAAAAGCTCAAAGGCAGCCGCAAAGAAAAAGAACAAGAGCCCAAAAGCAATGCAAAAGAACAACACTCCAAAGACAGCTGCAAAGAACAAGAGGGAAACCCAAAAGAAGAGGGAAACCAAAACGACAAGTGCAAAGAACGCCAAGTCCAAGAAGCAGGTTCAGAAAGCTTCCCCAAAAACATCCCCCAAACCAGGAAAGACTGGGAAACGCAAGGCTTGTAGCCCTCGGGTTCAACCTGAGAACTTGCGGGCAAAGAGAGCGAAGGAAGTGTTGAAGGAACTGAGACAAATCAAGTGGGGGGCGACCAAAAACTTCCATGCCCCTGACCCCGGCACCTTTACCAAAATGACCCTCGTCAGTAATTACTCTAAATTTTGAAGTTTGAGTTCGAACTCACGCATGGGTTTGTGCATTTGATGGTTTGACTGTGTGAGTGATTTTACCTTTAAATGTTGCAAGCTTCTTCTAATTAAGGAGCTATACTCTGAATTTCGATGGCCGGAAGGATATGCCTTCGATTGGGGTAGTGCTCTACGCTCGATCATTTTGTGTTTCAAGGGTTGGCTCCGATGGCTGGCCAAAGGTGGCCACCGATCATGGGATTGAAGCCCCTAGTTTGCACATCTGTGGAATTTCACTGTCTGTTTATGATGTATATATATATATATGTTTTATATATGTGTGAATAAGCTAGGTGGAGGGCTCCCCACTTTCTATGTAAGGCTGGATCAGATGGCCGCTCAACAGTTCCCTTTGGGGAGGATCCCAAAGCAATGCCCCTCTACTGCATTATGATCTAGAGTTAATTCTTTTGCCCGTAGCATCATTAGGTTTTGTGCGTGTGTGACTGGCAACTTTTGTCCATGCATTAGTTTCACGCATCAGGTTTGATGTGGCCAAGAAGATTGCAGGGTGGCCATCCTGAGGTGCCCGGCACATGCATGGCGTTGCATTATGTTAAACGTTGGTGTCACCTTCAACCCTCGAACTTCCCAAACTGTCCTCTGCAGCATCTGGCCAGGATCTTGAACTGCTGCTGACGCCTTGTGGCGCAAGCTTGGCAATGGCAACGACCATCTGAGGGGAAGAGTTGAAAAAATGTATGCGCTGGATTGCTGTCTCAGAATGAGTAGTGATTTTGATCCTTGCCCATTTGGTTACACATGAACCGGATTGCAACATTGGTTTGTGCATCGAAGAACGGGATTGTGGGGGCTGCATCCATGCGGTTAATGTGGAGAGTACTTTTGCCAAGGGGATTGTTTGAGCATCGAAGAATGGGTTTGCTGGGGCTCTCCAAACAGAATGGTGAGGGTCAACCAATTTCACACCCAGGCTTTTGGATGACTGACCAAGCTTTACGGTCAGGCTCTAGATGACTAACCGATTCTTATGGCCATGCAGGTCGCAATGTTCATGGCCTTGCTCAAGTCTATGAGCCTGCAGGCGGTGTTTTTTCTTTTTCCGGAATGTAGCTCCTGGACAGGTTGATCATGCTTCATGCCCAATACTGATCTGACTGTATTGGTGTTATAGCTCATAGTTGCAGTTCCATTTGCTTGTCCGTGTGTGGCTAGGAAGGTCTCCAAGACTGTTCATGTGTCTCAAAACATATGTACGAGGTCCACCAGTTGATGGATATACCGGCTCATCACCAACTTGGTTGGTTGTCCCTCCATGTAGCCCACAATGATTTGTTTTTGATTGCCCTTTGCCCGCCAGGTCAAAGCAGTGATGGCTTCCAAAGA